CCCGCCAACTCGCAGCCCGCGGCCCTGATTGGCCGCCGCCTTCCCGCTCTCCTTCCCGAACCGCCATTTTGAAAATCTTGTTGATTCTGTGGAGCGGCGCGCGCGGCGCGAGCGTCACGCCAGACAGCGACCCGCGCGCCTTCCCGTCGGCGTCGGCCCCGCCGCCTTCTGCAGCCGCCTCGTGCTCTCGCGCTCCAGGCCCGCGGCGGCCGCGACCCGCGGTGAGGGCTGCGGCGGGCCGCGGGAGGCCGGGCCGGGGCGCTGCGGCCAGAGGGGGAGGGACGCGGCCATTTGGACGGCGGCCTGCGCGGGGGGAGGGGACGCGGGCGCCCGGGGCCGGGAGGGCGGCGGCGGCGGCGGGGAGCGCGCGGCCGCCCCGTCCTGGAGCGAGCGTCCGAGGCGCCCGGCTTTCTCCCTGCCCGCAGGTCCAGCATGTCCGCCTCTGCCTCTGCCGCGGACGGAGACGGCGCCCCCGCCCAGCCCGAGTCCGAGAAGGAGCCCGACCTGCCCGACCCCAGAGCGGAGAGCGAGGAGGAGGAGGAGGACGACGACGACGAGGACGACGAGGACGAGGAGGAGAAAGGTGGGAGCCGCGCGGACCAGCCGGCGCTTCCCGCCCGCAGCCTCCGGCCGGCGCCCCGCGGCGCTGCGGGCGGGACCGGGCGAGCTGCGGTGCGGCGGCCCCGCCGTCGGCGCCCCGCGGGTCTCCGGGCGCATCTCTGCGGCGTGAAGTTGTGGTCGCGGCTCGCGTCGTCGGCGACAGTCCCGAGGTGCCGTCGCGCCCGCAGACCGGCCGTGCATTGGCTGAGCGCGAGCGGAGGCCCTCCCCCGCCGAGCGGCGTCTGGCCCCCGAGAGCTGTCGCTGCCGGAGAAAGTGGCTCCAGCGAAAGGCGCCGCGAAAGTTCCGTGCAGCGGGGCCGCGGCCGCCGGGGGGGACCCGAGCCCGCGCTTGGGCCCTGCCGCTGGCCGCGTTGACAGGTGGGCGGGCGGGCGGTGCACCTCGGGCCGCTGCCAGCCGCAGCCCGGGGAGGTGGCCCGCTCCCGGGGACGCTCCGGTGGGACTCCGAGGCCCGGCCCCGCAGCCTTTGTCGGGAGCCTTGTCCAGCTTCCTCTCTACCTGGCTGACACGCACCCGCCTGGGAGGGGACCCAAGTTTGAAGCTTTGCAAACAAACCCGTGTTTGACCGTTTCTTTAAGTCTGAATCCGCCACGGCCAGCTCTTTATAATGCCTGGTGGTTGAGGATTATGAGCCTTTTTTATGCCCCAGGGTAGGGGTATGTTTGTATTTAACCACAGTCTGCATTTGATTATGAGTTTTAACATGAGTTATTGCTGAATAGTTTTGTTATTTGTGATAAGCGACACTGGGCTGTGATACATCTGTTAACCAAAACTTTATTGGCATTTTTTCCTCTGATCTTTTGTTTATTTTTCAGTCTTTCTAGAGTGGCTGGGTTGACATACCACAGAAATGGTCATTTGTTTTGGTCAAGGAAAAAGAATTACAGAACTTATATAAATATACTGTGAATGGCCAAAATAGTGGTGCTTGGAAGTTCAGAAAAATCCCAGATTTTGTTCTAAAGAAATAGTTGGGTTTTAATGTTTTGATGTTGTTTGGGGTTTTTTGTTTGTTTTATTGTTTTTGGTACTGGGCTTTGAAGTGGGGGGGGGGGGCACTCAACCCCTGAGCCACATCCCCAGCCCTTTTTTGTATTTTACTTAGAGACAGGGTCTCAGTGAACTGCTTAGCTCCTCAATAAGTTTCTGAGGCTGGCTTTGATACTCCTGCCTCAGTCCCAGCTGCTGGGATTACAAGCATGCCCCATGGAGCAAGGCTTAATATAGTTTATGTTTATGGTGCTGGGGCTTAAACCCAGGGCCCTGCTCATGCTAAACAAGCATCTATCACTGAGCTCTTGTGCCTTTTTTTTTTAAAGAACATGGTTTAGTATAAAGTTTATTTCCTAACAATTTTATAATATTCTGAGTAGTACCCTTTTTACTCATTTGTAATGTTTGTGGAACACCTGTATGTACCTCTGAATACTTTAGTTCAGAGGCATCTTGGAAGCAAGGCATTGAAATTGATGAAGTGTGTGTCAAATAAGGGTTAGACTAACCCAAAATGTCAGTGACTTGGGGAGAAAAATGGGTGAGTTGACTGGTAGAAAGATGACTTGTAGTTTGCTTTCTTTGGCAAGTAGGTATTTTCTGAAAAAATTTGCAGAGGTCAACAAGTTTGGAGATGATTATGACTTACATTTTGGATGTATTGAGTCCAAGTACCCGTAGGACATGAAGTAGAGCTATGTATGGTGGCAGCTAGGTGTGCATTAGTTGATCTGAATCTCAGAAGAACACTCTGCCTAGAGTTAGACTGGGTAGTTAATACTATATAGATGATAATCAGAAGCAAATGGTTTAAATCACTAGTTACGAGACAGTCTGTTGATAATAGGGTGGCTTCATAGCCCTGGTTCCAGAATACCTGCTAGCATCCCTTTCTGATGCTTTATGTGCAAATTTTTACATCCCCAAATTTTATTTATCCTTCAGAGCCAGCACTGATGTTCGATCCTGTTTTCTTAGTCAAAAAATAATTCCTTCTTTACTCAAAGAACTTATTTGTATCTTTTTAAAGGTGTTTTATCATCTTCTGCATTACAGCATGATATGGTAGACATGATCTCTTTCAAAAAATGTTCAGTGTCTTCATCATCTGTTCATTCCCTCAGTATCATGTGCAGAGTCTTACCAAGTTGCCCAGGTGGAGTCCAACTTGTGATTCTCCTGCCTTATCCTCTGGAGTAGCTGAGATTATAGGTGTACACTACTGTGCCCAGCCGAATTTTTCTTCATCTTTTTAAAGACAGTCTGGACTAAATAGAACTCATTTTTTTCAGAGTGATTTATGGGCCATCATTATGAACCTTGTTTATCACATCACGTTAAGGGTTGGCCAGTCGATTGTATATTTAAACTTACATTATCTGACAACAGGTAACAGGCACCAAAATATAGTTAAGTTTACAGCAGTTTGTAACAAGGTATTGTATATTTTATGAAGAATAAGAAGAGAAAAGTTCAATGGCCCCAAATGCAAAGAAATGATGAAATGAAAATAGTAATAATTATAATTAGATCATTACACATTGTATGTACATATTGAATTATCACAGTACACCTTGGAAATAAGTACAATTATGAAAATAAAAATTAAAAATAAGCTTAAAATTGCTGGGCGCATGCCTGTAATCCCAGCAGCTTGGAAGGCTGAGGCAAGAGGATCGCGAGTTCAAAGCCAGCCTTGGCTAAAGCGAAGTAAAAAATTTCTGTGATGTTTTATCTTTTATGTCATTTACTTCTCAAAATTAATTTCCTATGTAGAAAAGAGTCTCATTGTTGAAGGCAAGAGGGAAAAGAAAAAAGTAGAGAGGTTGACAATGCAAGTATCTTCCTTACAAAGAGAGCCATTTACAATTGCACAAGGTGAGTTAATTATTTTTTTCATTTTATGGTGAAAATGCCCAAATATGCAAAAATATGGTTAGCCTTGCTTGGGTATTTAGGGTATTTAGCCTTAAGTAAATAGTAATATATTCTTGACTTAATTTTATTTGCCTCATTAAAGCAAAGTTATATGTAAATTATACTGTAAAATAATTGTCAATAAAACAATTTTATAAATGTATTAATTAAGGGGTATTTATGTGTTTTTTGTTGGTTTGTTTGTTTTATTTTGTTTTAAGGAAAGGGGCAGAAACTTTGTGAAATTGAAAGGATACATTTCTTTCTGAGCAAGAAAAAAACGGATGAACTTAGAAATCTACACAAACTGCTTTACAACAGACCAGGCACTGTAAGACCTTTTTAAAAATAACCTTTAATCTGTTTTCTCTTTTGTGTATTAAAATACTTTAATGATAGGACCATAATTTTAGTTTTGCAAAACTGGTTGATAATTTCATTTCTGTACAGTTGAGCACACTGACACACATACTTGCTATTACTTTTCACAGGTCACGTAGTTGGATACTAACAATTAGGACTATAATATTCAGGGTTCTTTGTGGTTGTTTCTTATTCCTAACTGAAATTTGAAAGTATGATTATTTTAGTAATCTTTAAATATATTACATTAGGGTTGGTTTTTGTTTTTTAAAGTACTAGGGATTGAATCTAGGGGTGCTCAATCACTGAGCTACATTATTATCCCTTGTTATTTTGATATAGGGTCTCACTAAGTTGCAAAGGGTGGCCTCAAACTTGGGATCCTCCTGCCTCACTCTGAGTGGCTAGGATTACAGGTGTGTGCCACCATGCCTGGTCAGAAATTTTATTTTTTGGATATTCTGGCCATTGAGAATAAATAATTCAGTATAATTGTATCTCATTTTGTACAAATACCTGATAGCAATGTGGGTGGTACTTCTTTGCCAAAGAAACTTAATACTATATACAACTTAGTGTTCCATACAATTAAGGAAACTTCATTATGTGTTGTACATAGGGAAAGTAAAAGTTTGGTGTTATTAGAATAGAATGTCTGAAGCCTTACATAATTTATTTCCTCATGTATTAATCTCTTTTAATCATCACAACAATATTAATTTACACAAATCTCATAACTAGTAAATGGTATTAACTTTGGAATACCAAAGAGTAGCTTTACTTTTCAAAGAGTAAAGTCCTTGACTTCTGATTTGGAAAATAAGAATTATGAGTAGTAACTTGTATTGCTTATGGAAAGGACATCTGTGTGTGTGTTACTGAGGTTAACCCAGGGGCTTGTGTGTATTAGGCAAGCAAGCACTCTTACCACTGGTCTTCTTTCCTAGCCCTTTAAAAAAAAAAAAAAAATCATTTTGAGACAGTATCTCTATAAATTGTCCAACTTGGCCTTGAAAATACAGTCTTCCTGCCTCAACCTCCTGAGTAGCTGGGGTTATAGGTGTGTACAACCACACCTGACAGAACAGATGCCCATTTATTTATTTATTGGTACCTGGGATTGAACTCCAGGGCTTGCTTGCTTTCTTTATTGGTACCTGGGATTGAACCCAGGGGCATTCAACCACTGAGCCTCATTGTTGCTGAGGCTGGCTTTGAACTTGTGATCCTCTTGTCTGAGCCTCCTGAGACACTGGTATTACAGGCATGTACCACCATGCCCAGCAACAGATGTCTTTTTAATCAGTAAATTTCCAAGTTTCCTGGGACTATTAGATAACAGTTTTGTTAAAAGTTCCCAAATGAAAAATAATTGTTATAATGGTAACATTAGTAATATTTTTCAATTTTGAACAATATATTGTAACTTGAAGACTGGAAAATTAAGATGTTGGCTTTGAAATTTTTTTGTACATTGCTAGATAATAAATATCAATAATAAGAACATTTTCAGGTGTCCTCATTAAAGAAGAATGTGGGGCAGTTCAGTGGATTTCCATTTGAAAAAGGGAGTATCCAATACAAAAAGAAAGAAGAAATGTTGAAAAAGTAAGTCATTTTTGTAAATAATCATGTTTTAATCACTGTACTTTCTTGTCTTAGTATTTAATTATAATACTTATGTAAATATACTTAAACATGAACACCCTTTTTTTTGTACATTGACTGTTTAGGTGCTATGATTTAACTTATTTTCATAGTGCTAATTTGGGATGTTTATTACTTTCTAGTGTATAGGAATTATCAAGATTATTGAAAAGCCTTAAAGAAATTTTTATTTCTAGAAGAAATGATACAGATTGATTATTCAGAGGGTCCAAAACTCTAAAGGAAATGTAGTGAAAAAAATCTTTCCAGTTCCTATCCTTGTCAGCTACTTTGTTTCTTTTAAACCATTTAAACTATTTTGAAGATGATCACTTCATAGAAACAGTGTTCTTCATAATGAAATAAGTTGATGTGCTTTCAGAGTTTTTGGTTTTTTAAATGCCTGTAGTTTAAATAATTAATAAAAATGATTACTGAGTTCTTCTTTGAAACATTGTCATAGTCTAAATGCTGAAGGAAAAGTATAAATTTAATTACTAGCCAGAAGAATTATCAAATTCTTTAATTTTGTAGGTGAGAATCTTTTACATAATTTTCCAGTAAGTTTACTTAATTTATTCTTTTATGCCTTTAAACTTAGCTGGTAAATGGCAGTTTCAGTGTTCTAATGCTCATGTGGTTCTACACTAGCTAAAAGTATTAAGAGTAAGATTCAGAGAAACATTGGCTGTTTGTTTTTCAATGTATCTGACAACCAGTTCTGTTGGCTGTTGCCATTATATTGTGGGGAATGTTCATAAACTCCTATATAATCACCTTGGTTTTTCCCATTTTCTGTTTCAGATTTAGAAATGCCATGTTAAAGAGTATCTGTGAAGTTCTTGATTTGGAGAGATCTGGTGTAAATAGTGAACTAGTGAAGAGGATCTTGAATTTCCTAATGCATCCAAAGCCTTCTGGCAAAGTGAGGATCAGTTTTTACTATTTTAATAGCAAACCACTTATTAATGGTCTTGCCTTACTTTCTCTTTTCTGTGAAACAGTATAATTGAAGAGTAGTTTTGCACTTGGCATTCAGTAATAGTTGCTTTTATAAAGAGTATACCTTCCATTGATAAAACTGCAACACTTCAAGATAGAACTAATATGGGAGGAATAGGAATATGTTCACTGGTATCAATTATGAGGGGTGTAAGATTAAGAAAAGTATATGTTAGATAGGACAAAAAATACAAAACTAGGATTGTGTGTCTAGAAGGTCCTTGAAGAACAGAAACAGGTTGAGTATGAGGTGTTGCGCCGGGCCGGGGATGGGAATATAATCTTGTACTAAGGATAGAAAGGATGAGATGAACTGGTTGTTTTCTAGATCCTGAAATAAAGTTATGAGAAAGTGACAAAAAAGCTGAAAAACAAGTTTCCTGGATTGAGTTTCTAGAATCATCAGAGCTCTAGGAGCTGGGCAGGGAAGTAAAACAACCATGTAATTTTCCCATACTTCCTAAATTTTAAGTTCACCTTAATTATTCAACAGTAATCAATGACATTGGTGACTCAAAATGTCTGTTGAAACGTTACTTATATGATCTTGCATTTTCAGCTTGTTTTAGGTCTGTTGGCCAGTGTTCCATATTCCTTTCTCATTTCCATAGGAAAAGAAGTGTAAAGAGGTCTAGCAGGCCTGTAAAGGAGTTCACAGGGGGTGGGGGGTGTGCAGAGCATGAAGAATCAAAATAAGAAAACAGCTCTGGAGCTTTGGTTTGCCTGCTCTTGATCCCACTCTCCATTAGCTGTACAGGGACAGATAAAGGATAGTCAAGCTGCTACTTTAATTAAGCAGCTACTAACCCAAGGGGTATGATGTTTTTTTGTTACATTAGATTGGCTTACTTGAAGACAGATTATCTTTTTATTTTCTAATTTTATACCTATACTTGTGTTTTTTAAGGATTTTGTGTGGCAGGTTGATCTCAGAAGCAATTACTAACTAACTTTTATGTGGTGCTGAGGGTTGAACCCAGTGCCTCCCATGTGCATGGCAAGTACTCTACCACTGAGCCACAACCCCAGCCCATCCTTTGAAAATTAATGAGACAACTCAAGAGCTTTGGTTTATGAACAGTTTAATTTTCAAGTAATATTAACAAATATTTTGTGCAAAACATATTCAAAAGAATTAGAAGAGTGGCATTATTTTGTTTTTGTACATCTAGTTAATATTGGCTTAAGAGAAAACAGCTCAATTCTCTTTTGCTTCTCATTCAGTCTCTTACAATTTACTGTTTTGCTCAAAATATACAAAGAAAATTCAGCCTCACACATGTATGTAGTTAGGACAAGAAATATTTTTTAAAATCCTCTCAGATGATGGTGGGTATTTTCTTTTGATAACAACAAAAAAAATCCACAGTTGGTAGTTTCTTAGAGATTAGTTGTGATGTTTTAATGTAGATCTGGAGACATGTGAATGAGCATGGGTCTTTTACCCATGTATGTTTTTGTAACATCATGCCTTTACCATTTGGGAAATAATACTTCCCTGGCTTACATAATGCAGATCTTCCAAATACTGACACATTTCATGAAGCATGTCAAAAGTCACATTTGTCAATATATACACTATTTTGTCAGAAAAATCTTTAGATACTAGGAAATTGCCACATTCACAGTAGTAGAAGTGTTGTTTCCAAATTGCAATTTCTGCTTAGTTTTGTAAAATTTATTGGCAGTAAATACTGTCAGTTGTTTTCCTTGAAGTAACAGTTTTACCTGCTTGCTTTTGAAAACGTGTCTATCAAATACCTAAATTCTGAATGTCTGTGTTTGTCAGTTCTTTTAAAAATCATGTTCCAGAGCTTGGGGTGTCATTGTGAATAGAGTGCTTGCCTAGCATGTGCAAGGCCCAGGATTTGATTCCCAGCATTGCCAAAAATAAAAATGATGTTCCATGAAAAAACCAGCTAGTTTAGCTCACATCTCAAAGAATTGCACAAATACTTTCCTGGAGAAAACCATTGAATGTCAATGTGAAGCCAGAGTATTTTATGTGGTGTATTTCCCATTTTGTCACAGATGTTAAAAGGACAATGCAAGTAATATTATGGTTTCATCAAGGACATTCTTAGTAGAGCAATTTTTCCTTTTTTTTTTTCTACTGATATGTAGTTGTGAGGGATGCAGTGACTGCTAGTATATTTTGTTGCATTGATTGATATGAAGGTATCATGTTAATACCCACCTATGCTTTTGAATAATCAGTGGAAATTTCTTTCTTTTTTAAATATTTTTATAGTGGACACAACACCTTTATTTATTTATTTATTTATTTATGGTGTTGAGGATTGAACCTAGAGCCTCACATGTGCTAGGCAAGCATTCTACCACTGAGCCATAACCCCAGCCCTCAGTGCAAATGTCAACACCATAAAAAGAACAAATAAGTAATATGTTGATATTACTGTGAAAATAGTTGACTGTATAGAGTCTTAAAATGGTCTCAGGGAACCCCAGAATCCATGAGCCACATTTTGAGAGAATTTTGGTACTAGAGATTTAACTCAGGGGTGGCTTTACTAACACTGAGCTGAGTCCACAGTCCTTTTTGCTTAAGTACTTTTTAAAAAATTTTGAGAAGGATCTTACTAAGTTGTTTAAGGCTTTGCTAAGTTGCTAAGGCTGGACTTGAACTTGGGATCATCTTGGCTTAGCCTCCTGAGTCCCTGGGATTACAAAGTACTACTGTGCCTGGACTTCCTCTAGAATTTCTTACATCTGTTTTTCACATGTGACCCTGTGGTGATTACTTCTTAATCTGATAATGGTAAATTGAAGCTATTTTCTGTGCTACTGTAGGCTACAATCATTTAAGAAAAATACTTTAAGGCCGGGCATAGTCGCTCACGCCTGTAATCCCAGTGGCTTGGGAGACTGAGACAGAAGAATCACGAGTTCAGATCCAGCCTCGGCAATGGTGAGGCACTAAGCAATTCATGAGACTCTGTCTCTAAATAAAATTTAAAAAGTAGGGCTTGGGGATGTGGCTCAGTGATTTGAGTGCCCCTTAGTTCAATCCCCAGTACCAAAAAATAAATGAATTTTTTTTTAAAAAAAGGAAAATGCTATAAGATCTATTAATTTTTTTCAATAATAATTTTAAAGGTATTGAAAGGACACAGCATTCATCATTGTCTGTCTTACTGTACTGTTTTTGTGGGTTTTTTTGTTTTGTTTTTTGGCGGGGGGGGGGGGGGTAGATTTAGCTTCCAAAAAGAGATAATGTTACTGACATTGAACTCTGTTCAGTAGATTTAACTTAGAACCAGTATAGGAAAGGCTCTAAAGCATTTGTATACTACTTTATTATTATTTTTTTAACAGATTCTCATTTATTTTTGGTAGTTGATTCTTTCACTTTTTTTAAAAATATTTTTTACTTTTTAGTTTTAGGTGGACACAATATCTTTATTTTTACGTGGTGCTGAGAATCGAACAATATCTTTATTTTTACGTGGTGCTGAGAATCGAACCCAGTGCCTCACGCATGCTAGGCAAGCGCTCTACCACTTGAGCCACATCCCCAGCCCCTCTTTCACTTTATAGCTTTATCCAGCACCCATTCTTTTCCCATTGCTATTAATTCTGTGTAGAGAATACTACCTGCATCTGGTTCCTGAGCTGAGATAGTAGAGGATGTCACATTATTCTAATACATTTGAGACTTGGCATTCATATAGTGAACAGTAGAAGTCTGGACAATGAGTGTCACTTTTTCTCTAAATAGTGCTATCAAAGAATTAATGTAAATGGGAATTGGGTCTTGGTAGTAGTTCACATAACAAGGATCAAGGATACCTGTATACGTTAAAGGATTTTTTTTTTTTTTTTTTTTTTGAGTACTAGGGATTAAACCTGGGGCTTTGTACATACTCCGGCTCTGAGCTACAGTCCCAGTCCTTTTTGAGATAGTCTCCCTGAGATGCCCTGGCTGGCCTCCAATTTGGGATCCTCTTGCCTCAGCTTCCCAGGTGGGATTTCAGGTGTGTGCCACCACGTTCAACCTCAAGGAAGGTTTTTTGTTAGTTTGTTTTTTGCTTTTTTAATAGAGAATCATCTCTGAGAAATGTTTTTGATCGAGCCACTAACTTTCTGGAGTGATCTAAGTTGTGTTTCCCAGTCTGCCTTTAGAATCACCATTGTTTGGGCAAGCTAGAGGCTGTCCTGTTATTTGTTTTATTTGTAGATAACTTGAGAACACTATCTTCTAGTAGGTACTTTTTCTTAATTTTTGTGTAGGTGCCTGTGACTCCTGAGAAATTGGATATTCCTGGAAAGACCTGTGGTTCTGTTAGTTTTATGAAAAATATTATGTAAAGTTGCCACAAACATTTATACAATTTAAAATATGTTGAATATCCCTTATCTGAAATGCTGAGACCAGAAGTGATTGATTTTGGATTTCCACCCCCCAATTTTGGAAGATTTTCATAATGAGATGTCTTGGGAATGGGACTCAAAAGTCTAAATACAAAATTCATTTAGGTTTCATATGCACCTTATATATACACCACCCCCTGAAGGTAATTTTGTATACTATTTTCATGTGCCTGCTTTTGTTTCTTACTTTTTTTTTTTTTTGTACTGGGGGTTGTACTCTGTAGCACTTTACCACTGAGCTGCGTACCCAGTTGTTTTTATTTTGAGGCAGAGTCTCTAAGTTGCTAAGGCTGTCCTCAAAATTGTGATCATCTTGCCTTAGCCTTCTGAATTGCAATATAGGCATGTACCACCATGCCCAGCTCAAGTGTGTGCCTGCATTTTTACTGTGCCATGTATCACATGAGTCCACATGTGGATTTTTCCATTTGTAGTAAATGTCAGCTCTAGATTTTGAAGAATAGGGATGCTCAACCCATACTTTGCATTATTGTATTTTACCCTAGTGTTTTTGCTTATTGCCGAATATAATGTAACACAGGCAAAAATAAAAGAATATAAAAGATAATTGTGGGTTTAATTGAATATTAGAGTGATTGTAGTGCACCTATTTTGTGGTTCTTAATTAGTTTTGTAATTAACATACCCAGTGTTTATTGCATATTCAGAAGCATCAGCCAAAATATGATCCTGGCATTATTGAAAATAGAGCCTAAAGGCAATATGAAAGTTCATTCAAAAATTCAAGATGTATAATTGATGATAAGGTTTTATGTTCTTTTTTAATAGTGCCTCCCATTCCTTTTGATTCATGAACCCTCTAAAAGCAAGGACTCCTAGCAGCAACAATTTTAATGCTTATAAAAATGAAATAAATTGTCTTAAAACAATTATGATAAAGTATAAAGAACTGTCTGCATGCACTGCATTTCTGGTTCCATGTCATAACCTAGAATACATCTCTCTCAACTTTTGGGAAGTCTTTTTAGGTGTTTAGAATATGAATAGAGTATTGGTAATACAATTTTAGGTTGACCTGACTCAATTGAAAAAAAAAAAAAAAAAAAAGCCTAAAAGCTTGTATTTTTTGAGAGATGAAATTGAGAAGTAGTTATCAGGTACCATTGGTTGACTTGGAAATCTAATTCCTTATTGGTGTTATTATTATGAATTTTTTATACAGCCATTGCCAAAATCTAAAAAAACTTCTAGCAAAGGCAGTAAAAAAGAACGGAATAGTTCTGGAATGGCAAGAAAGGCAAAGCGAACCAAATGTCCTGAAATTCTGTCAGATGAATCTAGTAGTGATGAAGATGAAAAGAAAAACAAGGAAGAGTCTTCGGATGAAGAAGATAAAGAAAGTGAAGAGGAGGTAAAGTGCTTTGTTTTTTAAATTAAGTATAAACCCATTTCTTTCCCTTATAGAGCATCTAGTTTTATTGCCAACCCAGAGTATAAAAGTTGAAATATAATAGTCTGAATGTCCTGAATTTGAAATGTTTACTTGAGTCTAGAATAGGTAAATGGTCAGAGAAGCTGGAAGGATGCTTATCCTGGAACACATTGGAGCAGATTCTCCGAGATTTTGTTTCATGGTATATCATTAACTTGAGCCAATTTGTGCAAAAAGTAAGGTGTTTAAGGGTCATCATTTGTGTGTGTGTGTTGGGCGTTATTTAATGAGGATGACATTGTTTGAAGTTTGGTGGGTAAGTTTTATAGGACTTAGAAATGTCTGTCATTTTTTACTTGGGAGTATTTGTAAAACATTGAGAATACTTATCTTCCAACGTGAGGCTTCAGGAAGGAGGTAAACTGATGAAGTTAAAAGATTAAACTTTTGATATACATCCTCCGTCAGGTAGGTAAGGGAGAACAGGTACAGAAGATGTATCTGTACATTTCTGTTGTTAATGATGTTCAGGTAGAGAGTATTTAATTTTGTTTTGGTGTTTTCCTTTAGCAGTCAGAACTTGCTTTATAAATTGTGTGTAAATTCCCCTGTCTTAGGGACTTAGTTAATGCTGGGTTGATGTTTTGGGCTAAATAATTCTTTTTGTGGTGCACTTCTAGTCCCTAGTTGTGATAACTGGAAATATCTTCAGACATTGCCAGGTGTTCCCTGGGGAGAGAAGATTGAGCATCACAGAATTAGAGGGATTAAAAAGTAGTAAACTATTTTTTTTGTGTGTTTAGTGTTTATTAGTCTTGAGGTATTTAAAATTCATCCTTGGTTTAATGTCAAACGAAGTATGAACTGCTTTATAATTTTAAAAGGTGGTTGGTTACATCCCTCTAGCAGGTGCTTCATAAATATCTTAAGGGTTTTTGTTTTGTTTTGACAAAAAGGAAGATGAATAATCTGAGCTTTAACATTTCTATGGATTGGACATCTGAGAGGAAAACATGTGACAGGTTTTCTTGTTCCTTTATTGGTTTTTGTTTTGATACTGGGGATTGAACCCAAGGGTGCTTAACAACTGAGCCATATCTTGGTCCTCACCCCCTGCAAAGACAAGGTCTTCCTAAGTTGCTGAGGCTAACCTTGGACTTGGGATCCTCCTGCCTCAGCCTCCTAAGTTGTTGCTATGACAGGTGTATGCCACTGCATCTGGCTAATTGTGACTCTTAAATTTTATTCTGCATTCAGATTTCTGGTCATCTACCATGTTCTGTTTACTGTATCCTAAGCTGTTGTATTTTTTAATAAATATTTATTTTTAATTGTAGTTGGATACAATACTTTTATTTATTTATTTTTAGTTGTTGATAGGCCTTTATTTATTTATATGCAGTGCTGAGAATCGAACCCAGTGCCTCACAAGCCAGGCAAGTGCATTACCACTGAGCTACAGCCCCAGCCCCTATTTTATCTATTTTTATATGGTGCTGAGGATAGAATTCAGTGCCTCACATATGGTAGGCAAGTGCTGTACCACTGAGCCACAACCCCAGTGCCCCTAAACTCTTGCCATAGAATATTAACATTTCATTTTTTCATAGAGACAAACCATGGGCTTTAGAAACTGGGTTTATTTGTTTTCCAGATTGTTCTAAGTAGTTGAACTCTATATTTGTAATTATATTTATTCTTGGATAATGATCACGTGTGGAAATGTCCCACTACAAATCAAAGCTTTACAGTGACATGAACTAAGATCTGTTGCTAGAAACCCTGGTCAAATGGTGGATATCCACAAGGATGGGAGATAATGCTTTTACAAACATAAGCTGTATAAGAACCACAAGATAAAATCTATATTACATTTTATTAGAGGGACTTTTCCTGCTTGGATTGGTCCTGACAGATTTCATAAGATACGATTCCAGTAAAGTCTAGATTAACAACACTCCTCAACCCCCTGCAAACTTTGCTCCAACAAGGCTGGGTAAAAATTTAGGACTGGTCTCAAAAACTATTGCTGATTTGAGTTTATGTGAAAGGGTCTGATGGCCTTTGAAAGTAAGTTCTAGTGGGAGGAATGATATTTATTTGGCCACTTTGTTTTCTTTATTTCACGACGTCTTGGTTAAGTGGAAACTGTGTTAGGTACTTCATCAATGAAAGTATTTTGGGTCATTACTGCTAAAGGACCTCTTTTCTAAAAGGCCATTAAGAAAAAAGTTGCAGGTTAATCAGGAAAGTTATGGATTGCCTATGTTTTCTTTTTTGTACCAGGGATTGGACCCAGAGGGGCTTAACCGCTGGACCACATTCCCAGCCTTTTTGTATTTTATTTTGAAACACAGTCTTGCTAAGTTGCATAGAGCCTCCCTAAGTAATCCCACTCCCTCACCCCTCCCTGTAAATCACTGAGGCTGGCTTTGAGCTTCAATCCTCCCACCTCAGCCTCCTAAATTGTTGGGATGATAGGCATGTGCTACTGCGCCAATTTTGCCTATTCATTTTTTAAAATAGAAAATTACTAAATTAATAGTTTGGATTATTTCCTGAAATGTTTCTTTTCATTAGTATTAACTTCATTTAAATTAGCCAAGAAGCTAATTTAAAATTTCTATTTTAATATCTTAGAATAAACTGTGAACTTAGGTAGATTAATTTTATCTTAACCAGTTTCCTCTGTAAATTTGGTAATTTGACTACAATCAAAATTTAATCTGTATGATAATATTAGAAGTTTTAGATAGAAGTCCAATTCAAATTATAGTTCTCCAGCAGATTATGTGAGGTTGAATATTATTCACTTGCTGATTTTCATATTTATCTGTGCAGGAGAATTAGGAAGCCACTGAAATCTAAACAGCTAACAATTGACAGCTTATAAAGTCTTCTTTTAAAAAAAAAAAACAGATGTAAGCTTTAGCATATTGACTGATACTCGCTAAAGCGTTTGAAGTTTTCTATTCTGTACCTGTTTCTGATATACAATGAATAATTCACAAAAGTTTTTATAATCCTCATTTTCCTTGGACAAGAGGATGCTTATTAAGAGTAGCTTTGGTAATTAATGCCTTTATAAAAGAACTTCACTGGATTTCCCTATTAGTTTGGCTCTTGACATTGACTTTTTTTTTTTTTAATGAGTGTCGTATATTTATTATAGACCTCTGTCATCACGGTTTCTACTTTGGTTTTGGGTGCAATTATTTTTTTTTTAATTTATTCTAGTTATACATGACAGTATAATGCATTTTGACACATTGTACATAAATGGAGCCCAATTTCTCATTGCTCTGACTGTACATGGTGCTGAGTCACAGTAGTGTAATCATTTATGTATTCAGGGTAATAATGTCTGTCTTATTCTACTGTCCTTCCCATCCCTACCGCCCAACCCCTCCCCTCACTCTCTTCTGCACAATCCAGAGTTCCTTCATTCTTCCCTACTTACCTCCCCCCCCCACTATGGATCAGCACATCCACTTATCAGAAAATGTTCAGCCTTTGGGTTTTTTTGGAATTAGCTTATTTTACTTTGCATATATTCTCTAGTTCTATCCATTTACGGGCAAATGCCATCATTTTATTCTTTAAGGCTGAGTAAGATTCCATTGTATATATACATTTTCTTTATCCATTCATCTGTTGAAGGGCATCTAGGTTGGTTCCATAGTTTAGCTTTTGTGAATTGAGCTTCTATAAACATTGATGTCGCTGCATCACTATAGTATGCTGATTTTAAGTCCATTGAGTATAAATCAAGGAGTGGGGGCTGGGGATGTGGCTCAAGCCCTAACGCGCTCGCCTGGCATGCGTGCAGCCCGGGTTCGATCCTCAGCATCACATACAAAAAAAACACGTTGTATATGCCGAAAACTAAAAATAATTAAATAAATATTTAAAAAATTCTCTCTCTAAAAAAAAAAAATAGTTTAAAAAAAAAAGGAGTGGGATTGCTGGGTCAAAGGGTGGTTCCATTTCAAGTTTTCTGAGAAATCTCCATACTGCTTTCCATAGTAGTAGCACCAATTTGCAGTCCCACCAGCAATGTATGAATGAACATTTTCCCCCACATCCTTCTTATTATTACTTGTACTCTTGATAATTGCCATTCTGACTAGAGTGGGAAGAAATCTTAGTTTTGATTTGCATTTCTCTAATTGCTAGAGATGGTGAGCATTTTTTCATGTTTCTTGATTGATTATATTTCTTCTGTGAAGTGTCTGTTCAGTTCTGTTGCTCACTTATTGATTGGTTTATTTGTGTTTTTTGGTGTTCAGTTTTTTTAGTTCTTTATATATCCTTGAGACTATCTGAGGTATGTGTGGTATAAAAACTTTTTCCCATTCTGTAGACTCTCTCTTCACATTGTTGATTGTTTCCTTTGCTGAGAAGCAGCTTTTTAGTTTGACTCCATTTCATTTATTGATTCTTAATTTTACTTCTTTTGCTTTAGGAGTCTTGTTAAGGAAGTCAGGTCCTAAGCTAGCATGTTGTGAAGATTTGGGCCTAGTTTTTCCTTTATTAAGTGCAGGGTCTCTATTCTAGTCCTAAGTCTTTGCTCCACTTTGATTTTTGTGCAGGGTGAGAGATAGGGGTTCAGTTTCACTTTGATACATATGGATTTCTAGTTTTCCCAGCACCGTTTGTTGAATAGGCTGTCATTTCCCCAGTATATGTTTTCAGCGCCTTTTCTAGTATGAAATAACTGTATTTATGTGGGTTTGTCCCTGTGTCTTCTGTTTTGTATCATTGGTCTACATTTCTGTTTTGGTGCCAGTACCATGCTGTTTTTGTTACTGTTGCTCTGTAGTGTAGTTTAAGGTCTGATATTGTGATGCCCCCTCCTTCACTCTTCTTGCTAAGAATTGCTTTGGCTATTTTGGGTTAAAAGCAATTTTATCATTGCTTTTTCTATTTCTATGAAGAATGACATTGGGATTTTTAATAGGAATTGCATTAAATCTATA